TAGTTTCCAGAAGTGATACCTCTTTCAAAAAGCTTAGTTAAAAACACAAAGCAGCCCTTCCAATGGCCCAGTGGAGAATAAGGTCTGCTGCTTCTTGGGATCTTTGGGTTGGAAAAGTGCCTTAGGAATTGCACTTTACAAACTAGGGAATGGCAGAGATGATGTGTAAATAACACTTTGTCATTGACAGGGCTGGGGTGATAGGAGAGAAATCATTTTTTGATCCCTGGTGTGAGATCTTCAGGGCTGCACGTTTGAAAACTGTCTTCCCAAATGTAGAAAAAAGTGCAGAGATTCAAACTAGTGCTAGATACAGGAGAGGAAATATGTTAAAAGATGGCCCTTAATGAGGAAATGGATGACATCTTGCCAAATACAGGATAATACATAACCTTACTGCAATAGAGAAGAGAGAGAAAAGCCCACCTTTTCAAGGTCTGGGATACCTCTGCCTCAAAAACAAATTACACATATTTACAAAATAAAGTCTCGGATTGTTGTCTCTATCTCTTTCCCGTGAACCAAACACTGATATGTCCCGAAAAACCCACAGTAAAGATCCAACTCTAGAAGATAATCCCTGTTTAAAAATGCCAAATGAAAAAAAATCATTCCCTTTCATAATACTAATTAGCAAAAGCAGTGGAATGTATCTCCAAAAATATAACACATGGTAGGGTAAAAAAGAGCCAATGTACATAGGGAAAAACACATAGGGAGCTAGACATATGGTCACTTTTTGGTCAGATTCCCTGTGGCTCTAACTTGTTTCATAAAATTTTGACAGCTTTCCTCAATTCCAAGCCATGTGCAATTTTGTGATATAAAACAGATTCAGAAAAGTTCCCTCAAAATCACAGAAAAAACAGTAGCTATTTGCCAGAGTTCCCAAGGTACCTCAGCAGAAAACAAGGAAGCCAGTAGCTACCCTTGTCTCCTCAAAAAACAAGGAAGCCAGTAGCTACCCTTTTCTAAAAAAAAAAAAAAAAAAAAGCATAGCTAGTTAGCCAGACTCTGCTGCATCACTATGATTAAAAGTTGCATTAACTGGGATTATGGTGTCATCACAAGCTTTGGAGGGAAATAAAACCAAAATGTAAAGGGTACAGTGGTTTTTCTAGGAAGGCTGAAGGAAGGGTAAAAATACAAGGGCTTTCATATGTATACTTAGGAGCCGTGTTGCTCATATTAGGAATGTGAACAGCATAATTTAAAATTTTCAGAATTTTAGTTCAAAATAAAATTAGCAGAAGCAGCTTGATTTATGCACCAAAACACCTCTTCCCAACATAAAAGGAACACATCTTTCTATCTCAACAGAGAGTGTAGGTCACTGAACACACTTTTTCTATCTCTTCTAAGAAGAACCATAATAGACACAGGATAGAAACAGGAAGTTTATGTATGGAAGGGATTCTTTGTGTGTGCTGGGAGAATCAAGGAAGGATGGTCTTTGTTTTTATAATTTACAAATATCATTGTTCCTAGCTTAAACTATGGAGGCAAAGAAGATGTAGAAAACGTAACACAATAAGAATGGGTGCTTCATTCCTTTCCCTGGAGTAGCTATTTTTTATTCTGGTGGAACCTCAGTATCTTGATTTTCATGTTTCAAGCACAAGACAGGCCCACGAATGATTGAAACAACAGACTACGCGAATAGTCACAGTATTGTGCATGTTTCATTCCCTTTTTAACGTGAATGAAACTGGGCGCTACATTTACCAACAGACTGTTAGAGGTGGTCTCTCACATTTACACAGCCGTAAGTAACTTTGACAAAATAATAAAGGTTTCAACTGTCTTTAAATATTCTGTTCCCCCTACTCTCATGTTAAAAGTCTTAAAAAGTAGTAATTTGCATAGTAGATATTCCCAGTAAATCAACAGAATTGATGTATAATCCCATGCTTCAAGCATTTTTAGAGTGTAAATAAAAATATTTACCAAAATAATTCCTACATGAGGAAATAAGTCTCTGAAAGAATAATTTTCTAACACAATAACCACAAAAACAAATTAACACCTTGTTTTTCCTTTTCTTCTTTTAATTTGACATGAACGTGTTCAAAGTTTCAGCAAATCACTGTACTGTAGTTGGATTCCACAGCACCTGAAAGATGATGCTGTGAAGCTCAATAAATAAATTCTGGATATATTAGTTATTGAAGATTTGTGGGTTTTACTCCTTTCAAGTGATATATATTACAGTTAGTGCACTATGTTCCAATGCATTAATATTTTTATATTCTTTTGGGTTTTACTTTTATACCAGCAAAAGACTAAAATAATTTTCAGACCTGTGTCGTCACTACCTTCCACATCACTGTATTTGTTTTATAAACAAAATACCAGATGGTTCAAACTGTTCTGCATTGAGTATTCTTGAATAAAGGTTGTTTAAATTTCAGACCAAATACAGACATGCAGATTTAAACTACACCTCTTCTGAAGCATGCTACACTTTACCTCTCAGTCCTTTGTGCTCAGTCTGGGGGTTTAGGCTGAGAGCAAACAGTTCCTATCTGACTCTCACATACATTAGACTATCCTCAATATGTCATCATTAGCTTGCATCTTTTAAGCAGAAAAAACTGTAAGTCTTCAGATATTTTGCAAAGTAAATACATGTGAAAGGAAGAAACAATGCCTGAACAAAAACAAATTAAGTTCAATGCACATATTTAAAAGAAGGCTAGACCATGGTACCAGACTCCACAGTGTAACTGATCACTGTTCTGTAAATCATAAAGCATGAGATTACCCTTGACAATACCATTACTAATACTGGTTGAAAACATGGGAAGGGTTTTGAAGGGCTTTGCTGCAAATGAAGGAAAACTACCTCCAGATATAACCCACAAGTTAATTTTTCTAAAAGTTACTCTGAGTTTAGGTAGATACACAACAATATTATGGTAGTAATGCAAGCAAAAAAAAAAAAAAAGACCAAACATTTGAATTTTCACATTGCTATCACATGCAGTAAAAATCATTATTTTGGTACACTGATTACAAAATATCTCCAAAAATGCATAATGTGCTGTTTTCATGCAATATAAAAGCTTGGATGTACTTTACATATTTACAGCTGGGGTAATTGCTAAATGTAAGCCTACAGAGGACGTGTAGAGACAAAAAATGTCTGTCCAATATGGTTATTCACTGAACAACATAAGATGATGAAAAAATGTTTGGAGTACACAAGTTACCACTAGCAATGTATCATTTTGCTATGCAAAAATTGTATTGCCATATGTCCTGGTATATTTGCTGCCTGAAAACTACAGAGTATTCTGTTAAAGTAAACTTTATATTTCATGACAGGTTGGTTGCTGCTTTAAAGGAGAAAAAATATAAGAAGAAATCAAATAAAATTTAGTAATACTGAACTTTTGAAACTTAGCTATTATACTTTTAAATTATTTTTAAAAGATTGATAGGAAGAAAACATATTTGATAGGGAAGGTGGCAATCTGGAAATTTGATGTAGCAACTTGTGTTCTGTACCACTATACTTGCCGCTGATTTGAGAATAACGTGCACAGCATTTTTTCTGTGAAATTTCTGGACAATGGACAGATGCTAATCATCTGAAGAATAATTCAGAGGTAATCTCTTGCTTGCTGATTGTTAGTCCACATATTCGCAACAGAGGACATGTCTTTACTTATCAGGAGATCGACACTGCAGAGATCAATCTTCCAGGATTTGATTTAGTGGGTCTAGCAAGGACCCACTAAATCGACTGCTGATGGTGCCCCTGTCGACTCTGGTACTCCACGGGGTCACGAGGAATAAGGGAATTCAATGGAAGAGTTTCTCCCATCAACCTCCCACAGTGAAGATGCTAAAGAAATGTAACCTAAGGTATGTTGACTCCAGCTACGAGAATTGCATATCTTAGCTCAACTCTTCCCCTACTATAGACCTGCCCTAAGAACGTAGGGCTGAGAACATGCTACCCATATGCTAACCATATTTTTGTGAGTCAAAGCTGACTGAAAATCCTAATTGGTATAAGTGATCGGACAGGCCTTACTATACTGAATCAATATCTTCGACAGCCGTGCTCCCTCTCAAGTGACTGACAGGGGACACAGTTTCTGGAAACGATCTCAGTGCAGTGAGAGACTAGAATGCACAGGGAAAGGGAAGAGGACTGTCAAGTAGATTTTTCAGTCATCAGTTCCAGAATACATGTTATCTCTACCATACCATGAGGCCAATGTGGTAACTTCACCATGAAAGGACTTGCTAAGAACAGGTCGCTACAATCAATTCTTTGCATTTCCTCATCTTCACTGTCTTTCCTCTATAAGGAACTTTTAAAATATACCAAAGAACTAGGTATCAATAATCCTGTTGTTTAGGAATTACTGCATACTATTTCGTACAGGATTTGTATGCTGTTGATAGTAAATTTTAGAAAAAAGCAAGGTCTCAGAATAATAGAATTATTTACATTGAGCATAGAGGTTATAACCTTCTCCTACTGTATTTTTCAGTAGTCTTAATTTTGTGATTTCTCCTTCCAATTTTACTTATTCTCAAATTTCTCTTGACATTGCTATATTTTCACTAACTACTTATTTGCTTTGATCACAATAATTAACCATTATATACCTTTTTTTATTTCTATTTTTGCTTTTCAAAAATTGTAATAATAAATAGTTTTATTTGGCTAATTCAATTCGTTCTGAATTTCCCCCCCCGTCAGTTTTTTAGAGTAAACACACTGTCATGTGCTTCTCTTCAAAGCACTATGCACATGTTTAGCACTACTCAAATAATACACAATAGTATTAACAGTTATCTGCTACACCATATATTATGTCTGCCATCCCATTTTACAATTTCCTCCTTTTGGTTTTTGCCACCTTGCACTGCGCCTACTTCTTTCTCTTTATTTTTCCTTTACAATATTGACATCAATATTATGGCAAACAGATCATCCCATCTGCTCCTTTATTCAGGGTCATCTACACAAAAGTACTGACCTTCACTGGTAGTAGTTCCACAGCCTTCAAGGTTCAAAATGATATTTTCATCTCTGGCATCTGTATCACATCCCAACAGCATCCAGCTCTCCACATGATCACTGTCAGAGAGCGTGCTCTCTTCTTCCTCCTCATTTGAGCTATCCTCTATTACCAAAATCTCTTGGATCGTGCGTCCTCTACCAGCAGAAGTTGGGTTAGACTTCTCGCTAGCCCTCTTCTCTTTACTTGAATGTCTTGCATCAGAATCTAGGGCAGAGTCTGCAGAAACTCTGGCAGGATTCCGTGTGGAGCATACTGGTTGCTTACATTTTATAGCTGGTGTTAGAGAACTTGCTGTCTTTGTTGCTTTGCTTTTGTAAACACTGTCTTCATCAGGTGTGTCAGACAAAATGATGACCTCAGGGCCATCTGAAATATGAATAACATCGTCTGAAAGTATACGGTTCTTGTCCAGATCCAATTTATCGCTTAGAACTGAACTCTGACCTTGTTTCTCTAGTACTTCCTCATTCTCATCCTGCTCAGGGACTTCTCCAAGACTCTGTGCATAATGGACCTGGCTGTAGAGATGAAATTCTACCTCACTGTCAACACTTAGTTCACTGGATGACTCTTCACGATAAAGGTCATCTTCATATGCTTCTATGTCTCCATGCCACCCGAACATTCTGGAAAGAAAGTAGACCTGTATCTGGGAAAAATAAAAACACCTTATCAGTAATGCCAAGTAAATGAGTCCAGAAACTCCATGAAAATGTAATACTTTTTTCATCTGTTATAGCAGAAACCTTTCCAAAATGTAAATCATTCATACAAACCTTTAACACAAACAACAGTTTACATAAGAGCCTCAGAAAACGAGTAGATGTTTTCATGGACAACTATAGAACTACGAACACAGAAAATGACACTACACTTGCAGAATAATGATACCAGAAATACAAATTATAACATGCACAATAGCAAATGCTAAAGTTAAGGTTGCACTTAGGTTTTAAATTTAACCTCTGTTGTTTTCACTCAGTCATGACAACTGTATTATCACCATCCTAGTCTCCAGTCACTCTCCTACATGGTAAGCACAGAGCCAGAGCTCAAGACTCAGCTGGAAGTCAAGAGGAGACCCTGCATTCTAGACTCAGCTCTTTCAATTACTAGTATTAATTCTGAGTACTTCACAGTCTTTACTACTGAGCAATGCCTCATACTTGCACATCAGGAGGCAGGCAGATACTATTCACCCATTTTACAAAAGAGAAGTAATCACCACTGGTGACAGAGCTGGGAATAGAACTTAAGTCTGAGATCTCTTCCACTCAGGAACACTGCATTTTAGAATAAATGTGCCAAACTTGTAACCACTACTCACTGCGAGGAACAGAACCCGAGATTTCAATTTATAACATTTCTCTGTTGTCTAGCAAATAACGGTGCCAGCCTTTAGCAAAGTGTATCTTGCACACATACCCCCTTACAGCGAATGTTTCACATAGGGGATTACTGCCTGCCAACAGTTACTCTTAACTCAAGTGGTAGAGGTCTGTATTATGAGGCTAAAGGTCCATGTTTCCAACTCTGCTGATGCACAGACCGGTATGGTTCCACACCAATGGAATTTCTAGGGGGTCATCAGTTTACTTTTTTAGGGGAAAAACACAGGAAATTACATGCAAAAAAGTTAAAAGAATGTTCAAATTGCAACACTGTGGAGTTACAAAATGTATCTGTTTCTCCCCTCACATACACATGCACCGCCAGTTCAACTCCCACTTTTCTCCATGCTTCTGTCACCAATTCTTCCTCCACTACATTCTTCTTTGTCCCCTTCAAGCCTGCCTTCCCTCATTTTCCCACTACATGGCCATGTCCTGCATGCTGGTGATGCTGCATAGTGCACCAGAGGCATTGAAATGGTGGTGAGTGAGGGCCCTGGAGGAGCCATAGGTGTGAACAGGGTAGTGAGAGAGGTTAGTAAAAGAGGATTTTGGTGGGGCATGCCTGGAAGGACCAAGGTTGTATGCTCGGGATGTTTCACTGTGCTTGGGAGAAGTAGTGGCCACTCAAGAAAGGAGCCCTACAGATGCTACAGTTTGGTATCAGCATCTTTAGGGCTCCCTTCTTGAGCAGCCACTACTTCTCCCAAGCACAGTGGAACACTGGTGCCACATTGAGCTCTTTAGGTGCTAATGCCTTGGTACAGAAATGCACTTCAAGTGACAATGTCTCTGCCCAAAGACGTTCGCTCCCCCACTCAAACTGGGCCCCTGCATCCTCCTTCACCAGCCTAGGACCATGCTCACCCTATCATTTTTCTCCTTAAAATCCTTGGCTCAACACATCATGGCACATAAGTCTTAATCTTGCTGATATTCCGCAATGTAGAATTTTGCAGGAAAAGACATTTTCTACCCTTCTCATAACTGTTGTTCTTTGAGATGTGTTGCTTGTACCCATTCTAATTATGTGTATGTGTGCCACATGCATGGCAGCCAGTAGGGATGTTACAATGTGGTTAAATAACCACATAACCACTGAAAATCTCAGTGGTTACAGGCACTGCGGGCTCTGCAATATGACGCTAATTTATACTTTATACTGCAGAGCCTGCAATGATGCCTCCCTGGGACTGGGGCTACCAGCCCCTGCAGGCCTAGTTCCTCGAAAGGCAGCTTCCCTGCCACAGGGAAGTCTCCTCCCCGGGACTCACAGGAGAGCGTCGAGGACCGGGCAAGAAAATGTCATGACCCTGTCCAAACTCTCCCAACCCAGCCGGTACACTGGAGTCAGCCATACTTAGTGTGGCCAGAGTCTGAGCCAGGCACGTTGTACCACATAGGGGCAAGTGGCAACAAAATAAATTTTAAGTGTAGAAAAAATACTGCTTATGGCCACTGAACAAGGGGTTTTGCACCCTCTCTGCTTTAAATCTGCATTTGAAATGGTGTACCCACTAGGGATGTTAAATTTAGATTAGTTAATTCATCGAATATAGTCGATTAGTCTAGAAGAGCGCCTCCACCTTTGAACTGTAGCAAGAGCCCTGCTAAGCTCTTGCTACAGTTTTAAAGGGGAAGCCCCACCCTGAACCTTTGAAATGTACAAGAGCCCTGGTGGGCTCTTGTACATTTCAAAAGGCAGCTCATCAGGGAACATGGGACCAGTGGGGGAGTCCCCTGCTGGCCCAGCCCTCCCTTCCTGGCTTCTGCTTTTGAAATGTACAAGAGCCCTGCTAGGGCTTTTATAGGTTTCAAAAGCAGAATCGCAGCAGAAGCGGACAGTGCTGGGGGGAACCAGTTTTTAAGTTGGCTCCCCACAGCACTGGCTCCTGCTCCCCTCTGCCACCCGCTGCCTCTCTCTGATAGAGGCGGAAGGGAGGGACGACTAGTTACATCACTACTCGACTATCCAATAAGCTTATGCTTATAGGATAGTTGACTAGTTGCTTACATTCCTAGTACCCACCAACACCTTGAAGAGTCCTTGAAGAGAGACTCATCCAGCATTCCTCAGGCCACAGCAAAGATTAACGTAATCATCTGCTAGGCAAGTCCAAGGACAGAGACAAGGACAACATAGGAATCCTGCTTTTCACAGCCCTTGGCTTCTCACTAGGGCTGGGGAGGAAAGAGCATTCCCGTGCGCTGAGAATTTTTGAAAACTTGAAAAACATTCCTGCCCTGGAGACCAAATGAAAAAATCTCAGGTTCTTTGCAAACTGAAAGTCTTACTAATTCCCGTCAAGTGAAACATTTTGTTTTAATATTTCCTTTCTGATGTGGGCCTACCCATACGGCCTGAAGCTTAGCCACCTTTATGCTGGACTACCTACCACAAAGCATTCCCTTAGAGGTTTGAGTGTGAAAGCCAAGCAGATGCTTCAGCTGGCTCCACCTTACAATAGCCCTTTTTCCTAGGTGATAAGACGAATAAGAGCACATCACATGAGTGACCCAGGCTCCACATCAATCCACTTCGAGGTCCTGGTGCTCATAAACAAAACATGCAAAGATTTGGCCATCTTTGAGACCCTTCCTCTCTCTCATCAATGGGAATACTGTAGCTGACTGAGCCAAGGCAACAACCTGCTTCACAAATCTGGTCAATTTCGCTGATGCTACTTTAACACCAAATGGACAGCAATAAACCTAAAGAGTAAAATTGACATGATACTTAACAGCTGGTTGCTGCTAAGAATATCAGCATCCAAGGCATCTGAGCTACTCAAGAATGGAAAACAGACTTTTGATAAAACAAGAGAATCAGAAGAGAAAGCCAAGACACTGAGGAAGGAAAGAGCAGCAAAATTCTGTGGTCAGAAAGCTCTGCAATGGCAGAGGTCTCTGGTAAATATTTCAGGCTCTACCTATTCACCTTCCTGTACTTTTATTTAATCTTTGTAGTGGTATTACTTAATGCTAAACTATTTAAGGACAAAGGCTGTGCTGAAGAAGCTATACAAAATAAAGATGTGTGGTACTGTTTTATGGAGTATGCACAAGAGAAAGCAGAACTACTCATCTTTTTTCCCCCAAGAACAAACAACAAAACAAAAAACCAGCATTCAGATATTCTGTTATAGAAAAATCAATGGTCTCAGGGAACTGCCAAAATTAACTTAATCCCCACACCTGCTTGTTCAGATTTAAATCGTGTGAGATTTGGATAATGCCATAAGAGTCCAGACTAGAAAAATCTCTATTCTAGATATCTACATTTAATTAAATAGTCTATATAACTACACAGTTCATGTATCGTGAATAATACTGCTATGACAACTGCAGATGTGCAATGTATAATATCTATTCAACTTACTGAACTGGTATTTTTTAAGTTTTAAACTATTCAAACAACCTTTCAGATAGCTGTAAATTCAAATAAAATCTTGAAACAAACATATTTAAATTAAAAACAAGATATATTTAAATTGAAATCATTTTAGTTCATCCTGCAGCAGAGCTGACACTGGATGTATAAGCGTCTTTCATTCCAGTTTCAAACCTATTTAAATATTTTAGAGCATGCCTCTGTGTCTGTTTGCGAGTTTGTCTGTTCAAGAATCCCTCCTAAACAGTAAGAGCTCAGGCCACCAAAATTTGGGAGGCAGCTTTTTCTTCTCCTAACTTAAAGCAAGGTCAGGGGTTGGTTGTGCCAGGACAACCGGAAGCTCCAGCAAAAGGAGTTTTCCATAGCATGGAAAGGGCGGGGCTGCTTTCAGAGGGATGTGAAATGAGAATGGGCATGGGGGGGGGGGGGTGCAGCAAACCTGCAGGGGAGAGCTATCCTGCAGCGTGTCCACTGGGGAAGCCATACTACCAACGGAATGGCCAGCAGGGCTGAAGCTCTGCCATCTTGCCTGCCAGCACACTGGTAAGTAGTCTCCCTCCTACAAACCCTCCCGTATCCCGGCCCTTGGCCACAGGGAGGAAGGTCCCTGCTGCACTGCAGGGACCCGCCCCTGCCCTGAGCCCCTCCTCACCTCTCACTCTCACACTGCCTTAGTCTCCTGCACTCCCCCCACCCCCAAATCCCACCACCCAACACACCAGCAGCCCTCTGCTCTGGAGCTGGGCAACGCTGAGTAAGTCTGCTAGTAGCATAGAAGTAGATGGAGGGCACCATGCGGTTGACGCTAGTGGATAAAGGGGCCCTGCCATTATGAGGGCTGCAGAGGCAAAGGGAGGACTGCTTTCA